GTCCCTCCGAGCGCTTTGGACAAGGCGAGAGCTTCGGAGAGGCATTGATATCTATCGTTTCTGCTTTAGTCCTTAGCGCTGTTTACTTCTGGTTGATATTCTAGCATTGGTGAAGTGCTGCATTCGCCTATAGACGGTGCAGTTTAAGCTGACTCGGGCACTGTCGGCTGGGACGTGGAACGCCGGGGCAAGTTGCAGCTGAGGGCGCCTGGAGGGTAGGCAATCAGCACACAAGCTATCCCTTAGGTTTGGGGGCGGGGAGTGGGGACGAGCCCCATTGTGTTCGTTTAGATGCGTCCAGTCATTATCTGTCTTATTCCATTAAAACAACAATTTATTATATTACGCTGTCTGAGAGTAGGGGCATACTCTTTTGGAGTGTGTAGCTGACGTGCATTTGTGTCATTTGGTCCTTCCAAGCTGTACAGCAGAATTTGACTCTTTTTGTCTTTTATTCCACAGTTCTTGTAATAGTAGGCCTAAAGGTATTTTATAGTTAAAATTTGAAACAGAAGTTAATTGAGTGGAATCATTTATTCTGAACTGGATGAGGACAGTCATGCATAAAACCAATCTACCACAAAATAAGGTAACTCAACATACCAAAAAGAAATCATAAAAGGTGCATGCAACCAGAGGGAAGTCCTTTAGTCAGAGTTGAATCTAAAGCCTAGTCCAACAGTGAAAATCCAAAACACAATACAGCTCAAACAGAGTTGGATGCCAAGGGAGCATTCTGCAGTATGATTAAAACAACATCTCTTTTAAATCAAATACATCGCACTTAATTTAAAATTCACGGTTTGGTACAAATGCAAAAGAAAGCTGGCTTGAAGTAAGGTTGGAAAGCTACAGTGAGGTATTAAGTGGGGAAAACTTCTCAATGATTTGGTGCTCTCCGGGACCAGAACCTTGCTCGAAAATCATCAGAGCAAGTGAGGAATGCCGCAGTTGTAGGAGAATGTGAAATATGTCTTACAGGGCCGTTATGACCTGTACATGAAATAAAAATGAGTAATGTGGAAATTTCATGCCACAACAACACACAATGATGTCTTTAAATGAAAAACAAAGATCACTAAATAAATCTTACCTAGAGATAAGAGGTGCTTGCGGGACGCATTTCTGGAATTCCAGGCACATAGTGAAGTAGTTGCTTCATCAGGGAACATGACAAAATCCTCTGTATGGTTAAAGACAGCCTGAGTTTTGTGTTCTTGCTTGCCTGTAAAATAGCAAATACCATAGGAAAACATTCCAGATCCATTCAACATAAAATTACTACAATGGATTTACCTGTGGTCCCGGCTCCAGTATAGGCAATCAAACACCGGCTAGTATTTAACTCCCACAATTTGACTAAGGAATCTTTTCCAGTTGAGAGTAGGTACTGCAATGGAGAAAAAAGTGCACATAGATTAGAATTTTTAAAAGAAGAAAAAGAAAGATGACATTTTTAAGTGTTCATAATTGCATACCTTGCCATTGCGAGTAAATGTGACAGAACACACCTCTGCTCCACCATGAGCTTTAATAAAAGTATTGACACATCTATTAGAAACACCATCCCAAATCTTGATGCTTCCATCACGGCTACCAGATGCAAAAACTTTTGCGTCAGGGGAATATCTAAGAGTTAAAATAAACAATAAAAAGATTATTTGCCAGAAATTTTACTCCAGTATTTCATTTTCTAAAACTAGATAAAATCGATTTCTGATGTGAATTTTAATCTTACTTTATGGTAGTGATTCCTGATGTATGTTGATGACTCGGGATGTTACAAACAAAAGCTTGAGCAGTTTGCACATCATATAACCTTATCACGCTATGGTTTGTGCCAACAACAATGAAATCACCCCCTGGATGGAAAGATAGACATTTCACCTGATCTGCATCCTTAAAGAAAAATATTTGATTTAGTGACGTTCGTTGGATGTTAGTTAAAATAATATATGGAACAAATCTCAAGACGTACAGTAATAGTGCGGAATGCTTTCTTTACAGAGGTTTTGCTGTAGTCAAAAAGCTTTACAGTATAATCTCTAGAACCAGATGCAAGAATAGGTTCACGAGGGTGAAACTCAAGGCAAGTAACCTCCTCTACATGATCATAGAGAGTTCTTATAACAGGATGTCCCTGAGATTCTGGTCCAGAGGATTCCATACCAGCCTCAGGCGCAGATTTAGCCAACATTCTGCTTACATCAAGGATCTGAGAAAATATAGTTGAATTGATTAAATAAAAAGCAGCTCTAGGCCAAATTATAAAAATAGGAAAGTAGATTAACCTTGATAGATGCATCTTGACTTCCAGTTGCAACCATCTGCGCGTCTGGACTAAATGCACCTGCTCGACAAGGACCTTTATGTGAAGTAACGTAAGCTGTTTCGTACATAGCTGGTTCTGCTGCATTGGTATGCATCTCTGTCTCAAACTCCAAATCTGAAACATAATAAAAACAAATTACAGACACTGACAGTTGATGAGGCATAGGTTTGGAGAAATGATCACAAGTTACCGAGGCCTGGTCCAAGGAAACTATCAGGGCTAATGGAGGCAGTTAAGCCTTCCTTTTTTCGTTTCCTTTGCATTTCGTATTCCAAACCTAACATCATCAAATTGAAAAGACGATCGCTGGGTGGACATGGCGGATCAGGATTGGTGACAGATTGCACTTCAAGAGCCTGCTTTTGGTTGCCGTCATAAAAGAGCTGGCTGGAATAAACACAAAGAATGTAAACTACATAGTTTCAGTAGTGTTAACATTCAAAAATTGTGTAAAAATGTCATATATTTGAAATGAAGACAGGTTATGACAAACATTAAAAAGAACTATTGCAATGAAATAGAGAGGGTAAAATGACCAATAATTATCAAAACAACACAACTATTTTACCTGACCATGAGGCGATAAAGAAGTTCTCTATTTTTTACTACATTTTTGGTTTCTAAAGTGTCAGGAGGAGGTAATGGCACTGTTGGAATGCCAGGTCCCGAAGGTAGCGGACCTGAGTTTGCTGCCATTGATATATCTCTGAAAATAAAGTAAAAGGTATGAATTTAGAGCTACAATAGGCGAAATGTATATAAATGTTTCAAAGCAGTAACAACATCAACATACAGAGCATAACCAGCAACGACACAGTGTTGTTGACACCGGCTACAACCTACAACAACCGTAACTGAAGTATGACAAATCTAGTTGTAGCTGAGCTCAGGGGAGGACTGCAGGCAGACATCATGACGAAAGACGGATATTGTAAACAAACACTGACAGGATAGGTTAGTTTAGTGTTGTGCGTCAACATTTTTTTTTTGTCCAAGGCTTTACAAATTTTGTGGACATGGTGATCCCTTCAACACATGTTGGACCTCCCAAGCTAATCGATTTTAGCTGTCGCATTCGTGAACCAGACAGTGGAAGTGCAGCATGTCTTCTCACTTTTGAGGTAAGTTTTTCAAACAATTTTTCAACAAAAATAAATTCTCACGACTTGACTGGACTTGACTGTCGAACTAACTTAGAAATGTTGCTCAAAATCATTTTCTATCTTGTAACTGACCATTTTAGAAATTCATGTCCTTTTTTTCCCTCTGCTAGGCATCAAGGCATCGTATTAATTTTAATTCTTCTCTTTTAGCTCGAAGACAAAGAAGGCGTCTCAACAAATCAGGAAGGAAATACTTCCATTGTAAATATGGAAATGCAACCATCAACCTTGACTACTTTGCTTGAAGGATTGACACGTATCCGTGATCAGCTGTCATCAGTAGCAAATAAGAAGCAATGACCTTCGTCCCCTCACTCAAACTTCCTCTCCATTCCCCTCTCTTTTAATGTATTCTATGCATTTCCAAATTTGCCTTTCATTGGTGTCAATATCTATGTATTTCCAACTTAAACCTTTGTTTTTGTAAATTATAT